ACTATCACGTTACACCTGATCCTGAAATTCGATTGGTCGTTATTACAAGGGGTGGAAAAAATTTTGTGGGACAGCTAACTAAAATTTTCTACTGCAAAGACCTCATATTTAAAAATATTTTTTTTACTTAGAAAGATATAGCTAAAATTAATATTTAAAATTTTATTTTAAAAATAAAATTTTTTAAAAAAATTTCAGGGCAAATTTGCAAGAGAAACGGGTTAAAAGATAATTTATATTACATTTTTACGGTTCAGCTCACTTATTTCGTAAACATAACATTTCACCGACAACAATTAGTCATTGTCGTTAGGGTCAGGTTAGGATTAGAGTTAAGATTAGTGGAATTTATAAAAAAAAATTTGTCTATGAAATGAGCTTCGGAATAAACTTGTCTGTGAAATAATTGTCGATGAAATAAACATGTCGGTGAATTTTTGTCGGTGAAATGTTATGTCTACGAAATAAGTGTCGGTGAAGCAATAAGTATCCCATTGTTATTTATATTACATATACATAAATACATATGTAAAGTCTATATTCTTTCTTTTCATTAAACATTCGTGCGACTAATCTTTCCAGATTATAATTATGACTTTCTGAAGCCGAACGTTGGGGCTTCATAATGTTCATCACCCTAATCATCTCCAACATTGACATATTCCCACACTAGGTCCGGCTTAGATCCGCCACACCGTTTTCTTTTGAGAAAATTTGAAGCAGATTGATCGTCAATTTCACTAGTATTTTGAACCAATACATCATTCGATGACTGTTGAGAACCTGTGACCCGTTCGACGTTACTATTAAATTCGAATAATGAAGAATGCGTCTCTTGACTAATATCACTTGTATAAATTATTTTGATTTGGAATATCTTTATCATTCCCTATAAAAAATTTTTTAAAATCATTTTCAAAATCTTCTTTTTAAGAGATGAGCATTTTACGTAACAAAAAATCTATACAACACCTTTAAAATTTTCTGAATATTTTCAAATTTCCTGAATATTTTCGAAACTTTGTTAACTTCCTGATTACAATTTTTTGCTTTATAAAAATTATAATCAGGAAATTAACAAGGTTTCAAAAATATTCAGGAAAATTCTTATCCTTAAAAAAATAACCCGAGTAAATTCTGAAATGATTTTAATTTTTTTTTTTTTATAGGGTAGTGATTGTAACATACTTATAACTTCAGCAGGTAAAACGTAATATGAAAGTTGTAAGGCAGGGTGAGAGTAGTGATGCAGTAGAATCGTCCCCATGATAGTCGTCACATTGCCATAACTTGCTGTAACTATAGTAATATATTACGGCATTATAACCGTAAATTTCTATATCACTTACTATAGTTATGACAAGCTACGATAATGTGACGACTATCATTGGGACGATTCTACTGCATTACTAGGTGAGAGCTTCAATTTATCTAATAATTTTCCGTGTTTGATATAGAAGATAATCTAACCGAGCTTTCAAAAAAAGTATTGTAAAACGTATAATCATTTGTGTAACAATCTTCAAACTCGGGGCATACTCGGGACGTACGTACGTACGTACCAGGGACACGCAAAAATTTATACAGATTTGGGACCACCCAGATTTGGAAATCATTAAATGACCGGTACAAATAACTTGTACATATGTTACATTATTGGCCTTAATAATACTAGGAAATCAGAATCTGATACGTATAAGTCCGAGAAAATAAAAGACTTTACCATATGTGTTACACTGATTGTATCATTCAAAATCGTGTTCATTTTGCATAGGAATATAAATCCGCTGCATAGAAGTTAGTATAGAAGACACTCGTATCCGATAAATTCCGAAATTATTGTTACATAAACTATTTTATGAAAAATCATTATACGTACGTACGTACGTACGATAGTCTAAAAATTGAAAACTTTACAATCCATTTAACCTAATAAGTCTAACTAATAACACTAACGTTTTAATAAAATTAGTAATAAAATACTGATTTATGAATTGTTAAATTGGGAGTTTTAAACTAATATAAGATTTTATATTTTATTAACGGACTTATCAATGTAAAAACCTTTAACAAGACCTCATTTAATGAACTAAGTATGTGTTGTTATCAAACAAAAAGACAGTGTTCAATCTAAACGTATTGGTGCTGTTTAATTAATAATCTAGATTAAAGATAGTAGTATGTGTAATATGTTGTTAAAGCAAAATAGCTGAAAAATGGAATAGAAGAATAGAATTACTACAGTATTAAAAGCGCGAGAAATAAAAGTAAGGCTCACTTTTGTAGATAATAAATTTTCTTCGCGTCTCGTTTAGCTGTTATTAGATCGTTTAGAATTTTGATTGATTTTTACAAATGAGAACTGGTCTAGGAAAATGCCAACCTAGGAATTAAAGGATTTCCGATTAAGAATAATATTCATAATTGGATATTACGATCAATCGGAGAATCACAAATTCCCAGATTGACATTTTCTCAAACTAGTCCTCAAATGGAAGAGTCACATATAGTTAATAGACTCAACGTGGGTTGTGCTCATTTTGTGATATAAGATTAATATCGATATCGGGTTATTTAATGATATTTAAGTGCGCCATACCGACACATATGAATTAGTAATCATAATTAGATACGCATCACAAAATGAGCACAATCCGTCCACACAATCCTTCGAATTTTACAAGCCTATGTTAACCTTATGTACGATTATAATTTAGTATAATTTTCGTATGTCTGTCCGAATCTGTACTTCCGTACAGTACGTACTACTTTACTGAATATCTGCGCTGTAGTCGTACGTACGTACTTCCTAAGTTCGATTATCACGTGCCTGTACTCCTCGTGTTGCCAGAATAAACTTTTGAAGGTCACCATACATCGTACGTGCGTACGTACTTGTTTTATGATTTGAGTATTTTTCAATTTTCAACAAATTATGAACGAATTGGTTGAAAAATTTATTAATGAAAACGAGGTTACAAAATATAATTATGAACTTTTCAACAATTTCGAGGAAATCAGCAGTGGCCCATTCGGTACTGTTCGCAAAGCGACATGGGAAGATAAAGTAATTGTTCTTAAAAGCCTAAATATTAATATTGGAGAAATCATCAATAAAAATGAAACCAAAAAAACTGAAATAACTAATGAAACAAAAAATGAAATGTTTATTCAAGCGTTTGTTAATGAGGTAATATTAAAGTAAATTAGTTTAATTAAATATTAATTTTATACTATGTTAATACTTGCATATTTTTGTATAGCTTCGAATACTTCTTGACTTTGAAAGGCATAAACATCCGAATATTATCCAATTCTATGGTGTTACTAAAGGTAATTATACAACATAAAACTTTACAAATAAATAATACTCATCTCTATTTTAATTAGATGCCTTTAATGACCGGTACAACTTAGTTTTACAACTTGCTGTGGATGGAAATTTGCGTGAATACTTAGGAAACAACTTTGAAAGATTAAATTGGTCAGATAAACTGCGATTTGCACAAGAAATAGCCGAGGGACTATCGTTTTTACATGGCATTGGTATTTTTCATCGGGATCTTGTAAGTATTATATATGCAAACTCTTATCTTAATCACTTTTACCAAAATGCACTTATGGTGTTTTACACCTATGTATGTGTTGTATCTGATGTAGCAGAAGTAGACTTATCTGGAGTCGCTACTTTAATTAATATCTATTCCTAGTTCGTGCATGAAGATCTAACAATAATTTCAGGGGGCTTAATTTTGGTCAGATGCCATTCCAGATATCTAATGTAGCAACTCCAAATACGTACGTACTGTACGTACGTAGCTACATTGGATACAACATATGCATTGTCTTGTGATGCTCTAAGTGAAATGTTCTACGCCACAAAAAATCCTTTTCAAAATTTAAATAACTATATATTTTGTCCAATTATAAAGAATGTATAAAGTATACAGAAATAATTGTCGAATTGAAATATCTTGCGATCCAATAATTTTATCCGAACAATTTTATTATCATTTGGTTCATTTCAATGAATGAAATGGCGCAAAAATCGCTCTATTTCAATCACTGGATCATGAAGTACCTAAATTGCATCTTATTTCGTCATAATAATATAGTATTCTTACTATACTATTCTGATGAAAATATCTTGTGACTCATTGATAAATTCGAGCGACTTTTATGTTATCAGGCTCTTTTGAGGAGATAATTAAATGGCGCAAAAAGTCCTCGCATACGATCTCTGGGTTACAAGTAGTAATGCGGACTATTGGTACGTAGTTTGGAATTCGCCGAGCTAAATTTTGAAATTTTGACAGCAATATTAGCTATAGGATAATCTAATATTCCAAATTCCCACCCTTTAAAATTTAAAATTTTTTATAACTTAGCTGCTTATTATCAAAAATCAAAATTGTATTTTTCACTGCTTTTTATAGTTAATTTATTCCAAATTAAACACATTGATAGATTCAATAGCCAAAAACAAAATCCTTCATATAAACATAAACAAAATTTTTTTTGGAAAGCATTATTGTTTAGAGTATCGGTATCAATTATCTAATTAGTTTTTAAGATATAGCGATTATGGTGTTAAACACCATTGACATTATTTAGTAAAACTTGAAATAACTTATTTATACTAATTTAATTACAAGTTATTCCTTCTACCTTATATAGATTAAAAAATTTTCAAAACTTAAAATTCAATAGGAGCAAATCACTATAAGTGCGTTTTATAATAAGGATTGCAAAAAATTTTATTTATTCCTCTTTTACTTTTAATAGCATTCAAAGAATATTCTGGTTCATAATGAACGAATGCTGATTGCAGATTTTGGAATATCCAAATATATGAACGAGGTATCAATGGTTAAAGCTCAGGGAATGTGGGGCTATTTAGATCCTCAATGTTTTAATCCTCATCTTCAACATAAATGTGATAAACGATCAGACATCTATAGTTTTGGTGTAATCCTATGGGAGATCATTAGCGGTAGGCCACCCTATAATAGCTTTGATAACAAAGCAGCAATTGGTGTTTATGTACACGAAGGAAAAAGAGAGAGCGATATCAAAGGCACGCCAGTTGATTATGTAGAACTTTATAAACGTTGTTGGGATCAAGACCCTGATAAACGTCCAGAAATAAGTGAAGTTATTGAAGATTTAAAAAGGATTCGTAATAAAACTGAAGAATTTTCAATGATAATTACTGCTGAACATGAAAAAGAAATTATTTCTTGGATTAATCCTTTATTTCATGATGCACAACATGCACAGTATAAGCTCGAATTAATTCTTAGAGGCAATAGAGATGGATTTGATAAGAGAACTTTTTACAACAAATGTAAAGATATTGAAAATACAGTAATTGTTTTAAAGGTTCAAAATACAGGGGAGATTCTCGGTGGATATAACCCTCTTACATGGAGTGGAGGGAATAAATATAAAAAGACCGATAAAAGTTTGATTTTTTCTTTAGAAAATGAACAATCCAGTTCCATGCTTATCAGAGTTAAATATAGAGATTATGCAATTTGTAGTTGTAATGAAAATATTGGTCCGTCTTTTGGCTTTTTAGATCTCTATATGTCTGATAATGAGAAAGCTTGGGGATGCCATCAGTCAAATTACGAAAAACCGATTAGAAACACAAGCGAACAATTTCAAATAGAAGATTATGAAGTGTTCCGCTTAGTTAAACTATCCAAGAACACAACAAAAGACTAAACATGACTTTTTTATTATTCTATCCATATTATGTTCCGTAACGCATCTGAAAATTTTATTTATACGTAATAAGTAACTGCGCAACATCGTCGCGCTAAATCAGGAATGGGCCAATATAAACCTGATTTAGAAATACTGAACAATTATAGTTGTATC